AGCTCAAGCCTTTAAAAATATCATCTTCAGCAATAATCGAATCAGGAATTGAAACCAAGTTAGTTATAGAATATGGGTAGTTTGCGGATAAATCGGAATTAGCAGTCGAAAAGTTTCGACGGAAGTACTCAGCGAACAGATTTGAGATTTCAAAATCATCCGAGGAATCAGACCCATTAAAAGAAACATGCGGAGGATGTGCGGAAATTTTTCTTTTTGAGCTAACAAATTTAAAAAAGTATTTAGCATTAGCAAACAGAGAGGATGAACTGAAGGTACCTGTAATAATATTGGTGGTTGAGGGAGTTAAATCAATGCGTTGCCACGGAGTAAGCGAAATAGTCAGGAGCAGAGCCCCTTTTGAATATTTTTGGAATAGCGTGTTTTTTCTGTTCTTGTAATATATAATTGTCTTTTTAAACCACGGGGAACACCTGCTTCGAGCTCGGCACTACTTGATCGGAAAAGCTGCAGCAATAGCCAGATTGAATGTATTGTAGAACGATGACAATAAGATTTCAATACTTTCAGTTGAGGAATCAAGCCTTATATGTGAAAGGTGATATTTTAGCAATACAACATTGATTTTATGAAAATCGTAATATTTATTTGAAAAAGTTGGATTTGGAACATTAAAACAGTTCAACGAACCATCATGCTTGTGATGAAAGGAAATATACATTGCTGGATGATAAGGATCCTCAGGTAAACTAAAAGACGGAAATGACGAAGATATAGCAATTAGTACACCACCACCAATGCCAGCCAATCAATCATTTCATCTGGAAAGAATTGTGGAAAAGTTCAGACGAATGTAGAAGTTTCAGTGAAGGCCAAACAGGAGAACTCCGTGCCCACTGAATTTAGGAAGGTAGAACGAATTTTTGAATTTAGGTCCTTAACATTTTGATAAATGGGAAATAGTGAGTCTGAAGAAATATTTAGTTTTTTGAAGGCGAAAGGACTACTGGGTTAGTATTAAAGGGACGATCCCAAGGGATAAATTCCTTTATTAAGGATCCAACTGGCCACAGTGGTTTATCTAACAACATATCAATGTTTTCAGTCGGAGAAGGAATTTTGAAAGAATCGGATTGGTCCAGATTGGGACGGAGCCAATTTAAAAATACTAATCCGCTTTAGATTGACTAATGGGACTTTCGCCGTCAGATAACGTTTTATGTTATCCACAGATGTATCGAGTGCCAGTCTTGACACAAATATTGCTTTTCTGGGAAGAACTGCCGTCAAGCAAAAGTCATTACAGCTAGGAGCAATACGATTCGCGGCTGAGGAGTTTTGAGTTGGAGAGAATATAGATGGGGTTACCAATGGAGCAGCTTGTGCGACATGTCCAGTTTGGTGACTAGCGTTCACACTCGAACAGCCAGGGGGAGAGGATGATTTATATTGCTCTTTATTAGATTTAGGCGACGCCTGAGTTGAGTAAGTGACGCCACTAGGAGCCGACACTCTTGCCACTTCAGCATAGCTTAAACCAGAAGCAATTGCCGGATTATTTGTAACTATTTTGTTACAGACCGACTCACCCATATCAGAAACGCTGATGGTCCTTGAGAACATTGTGGAAGCGCTAGCTTGCAACAACGAATCGGATTGAGGAGAAATTAGAGGTGACGTACCACACGCTACGCTACGAGTTGTGATTTTGCTAGCTTGGGAAGAGGAGGAGTGCTCAATAAATCGACACTCATCAAACCTAGTCTTAATGATCTGAAACTTTTCCCATAAGGAGCCGAGATTTTTACTCAATTCAGAGAAACTATTTCTGCGTGAACAGTTTGTAGAAGCCTATGTCCCGCTTCCTAGAGTCAAGACATGACCATCGCAGTCCCTTCGAGGGATCAACGTCTGCATCAGCGGCACGGCCGATAATATCGGCACACTTTGCGTGGCCAAAGCGATCGTAAAGCCAAGGCGAAACGAATCTTTCAGATTCCGGGCTCGTTTTCGCCTGACCAATATTAACTCGAAACAACCAATGTTAACACAAGGCGTCAGTAATTTTGTTTAGGACGTTTTTGACAATTCTGAGAGTGAGTTTCTTGCACCTTTTGTGCGTGCATATAGCTTATAAGATAAAGACTCGGAAATGAAACCTAGCTATCGCCCTACATAAGCAGTTCCCAGTAGCTTCTTTATCCGAATTACGCATAGAATGCGAAAAAAAGCCGACCAAATTACTTTAGTTTCATATTATCCTATCAACTTATTAAGTTTATGTTTAAAACATTTACATTTCGCTTGAAAAAGAAAATTGAGAAATTAACTTGTTTAAAGAATATGTATTGTAAAACTTTGGAGACAATAAATATTTGACGATTTTAGATGTAATTACTTAGTTCATTTGTTATAGGCCAGAATTTCTCGAAAATTAGCCTAAAAATTGAAAGCGAAAAAGAGTGCTATTACTTTTAAATTTTCTTCGAACTTTGCTTCTAAGAAATATCAACTAGCAGTAACATTCAAAATATTAATGCAATTTCTAGTCAGTGGCTGGGATGACAAAAATTTTTATGAAAAAGGGATCACCTTTTCCCATTACAAACGTATAACAACAACTGCAATTAACAACAATGTATAAAACCATGTGCAACACGTGTAAGCATTCCAATTAAGGTTCGTTCATAAACTAGTCGCTTAACCATACTTTTAATTAACGAAAACAATACTCATAGGGTTATTGACAACATTTGACCCATGGATACTGAAAATCTGTATATAATAAATGTTTTTCCTTATTGCTTTTTTCAACATAATTTCTGTGAGCACCAAAGTCGCAGGGTTGTTTTAGTCACACACTACGTTTTAGCTTTTCTTTGTATATATAGTTTCTTTTTATTATTATTAACTTTATATTATTTTATCTTATATATAAATATCATACCTTCCATATAAATATGTACATTATCTTCTATTATCTTATAAATATATATTGTAATAAAAATGAAAATGCTTTACTGCAACCGCGAGTAGTATTGATAGAATGGGGTGCAGTATTTGGGAGGATTCCCTATGAATCCTTCCCTAGGTATAGGTAAGTGAAGGTAAGTTTCACTGTTTTAGAGCCCTAGCCTGCTCGGTTTCATAAGCGCCAAGTCTTTCTGCTTTTTAAATTGCCTAAAACTTTGTATTTTGGCGGATTGAACGCCTTAAGCGAGTTAAACGCTTTTTTTGAACTGTGTAAAACAATTAATTCTTTTATTGAAAACGTGCATTATTTATACTTTATTTCTATACTAAAATTATGCTTACGTTAACAGAAATGTTGATTATTTAATTGTGGCGCGTGGCATCGTATTACTTTAAGAAATGCAATACTCAGCCAGGTGAAGTGCGACAAAATTTTTGTTTTCATTTTTTTTTGCTACAGAATTATGCAAATTCATCATAATTCTGTCGGGCTTCAAAGTAGATGCTGAGAATTGCATTTCGTAGTGCAATACGACGCTAGGCGCCCTAATTAAAATAATCCGTCAAAATTTTATGTTGACAGTATGTTAGCAATAAGGTATTTTGTAAAATTTAGGTATAAAAAACCAAATCAAATAAATTCAATTGTTATAATTTAACAGTTCATCATAGCGTTTTATTCGCCAGACCAAAAAGACGTTCCTTCCGCCTAAATAAATTACTTATGGACTACTTCTAGCCGATCTCAATATTGGCACCAAAAAGAGTAGACAGACTTGGGGGACTTAACCCGAGCAGATAGGTAATTTATTTCACACTCATGTAGAAAGATTCATAGGGAATCTTTCCACTCCAAACAAACATTATGTCCTCCACACAGCCAACATAATTTTATCACAATATACTTTTAGTAAATTACGTAATTGGAGGAATTACCAATTTTAAATCGACTGGAAGCCAGAATGGTTATAACAGTCGAAAATATAAAAGCTGGTTTCGAATGTGGTTGTCAATCGATGGGCAAGGCCAAACATGACAGAAAGGCTTCGAGGAAATGTGGTTTCCTCCTCCTCTCTAATTGAAGCCGTCATGCTGGATGGGCGTAAGTTTGGTAAATGGAAAGTGTCCGCGTAAAGAATAAATAAATGTGGAGAGCCGTTTAAGGTAGAGATTAATTGAAGAAGATAAGACTAAACTGTGGAATTGGGACGTTAGGCTGGAAGATAAACGGCCTAGTTAGGTTAAAGTTAAGGAGAACACCTCGTTATTCTCTAGGAGGCTTCGTTTATTCGGTTAACGTTAGAGTCACATGAGTCATTAGGATTTATATATTTAAGTAACATATTTTAGACATCTTTTAATTAATGAGAGCGATTTTGAGTTAAACAAAACTTATGGTTTTATATAATTTTATAAACGAGATACACGCGATTTGATAATTTATCAGCCCAAGGTAAAATTAGAGGATAAGTTATATACTATTTTAAACAATTTTCGAAGAAGCCACTTTGAAGCGTGATTTCGTTTTCCAGGTATATAAGTGCCAAATGAAAAAAACACTTTTCAATAATTGAACTTGTATTTGTATAATCTATGGTGCCTTTAAAGAATAAGCGTATAAAGTGTGGTGCCTTTAGAGAATAAGCGTATATGTCGTTCTCAATAATTTGTAAAAATGCCAACCATGTGAGAATAAGCGTATATGGGATTTGTGAGCCGAAATTCTGTCCTGAATGTACGTTGGGTTTAGACCTTAAACATACCGACTTACTGATTTTATCACAATATGTTCGCTCAGATGGTTGCATGTTACCTAAACGCATCACTGGTCTTTGCTACCGTCAGCAAAAAAGGATAGGCTCTCTTGTAACTATGGCGCAGAAGGCGGGGCTAATGCCGAACTTGGCGCCAGCTGGAAGTAAGAAAGATCCGAAAAGCCGTTTCGGTTGGAAAAACTTCAATAAATATTTCTATGAAAGCACTATCAAATATTAATATCGGTACGGAATCGTTAAAATAAATCTTGCAATATGTCCGCAATCTACTTAAAAGTTGAGAAAATGTTGCTATTCAAAAACTTCAGACCGCACTCTTTTAAGAGGTGTTGTAGACGCTTTTATCAAGTTGTGTGTTTTTTGCATGTGAATACGCAGTGTGGAGCGTTGACTGAAGGACTTGGGGCAGAGTTTACATTTGAATGGGGTTGGATCTTTATAAGTTTTCATGTGTTCTTGACAAGCAGTTTGTTGTCTGTAAGCTTTGCCACAAAAGTCACAATTAAACGGCTGTTCTTTAGTATGAGTGCGCTCGCGATTAATCAAATGTATCTTCTGGTGGAAAGCCTTGTGGCAGTAAGTGCAGGGAAAACGTTTTTCGCCATGTTGGCGCAAATGATACTGAAATCTCATCTGAGTATAACTTTCGAACTGCTGATGGCAAATATGGCAGGCATAGGATGAAATTAAATGAAAGTTCTTATTATGTCGTTGCAAATGCAATTGGCTTCGAAAGTACTTGCCACATTCCTGGCATTGCATGGTGTCGGGACGATTGTGTTTCAGCTTATGCTGGGCCAATAAAAACGTTGATTTAAATGAACTGGAGCAAATATTACAAGCGAACGGATTTTCCTGTGGATGATGACGCATATGATGGGCTTTAAGAAGCTGTCGATTCGCACATGCCGCACCACAGACTTTACACTTTAAGTGAGACGCAGTTTTCTTAACGTTTTGATGTTTTGGGCAGTCTGCGAGAGACTCTTCGTCTGAGGAAAAGGAATTGTCCGAGTCTAGATCCTCGTCAGTGGTTGGTGTGGACTATTCATTTTCACTAAAATCCCATTCTTGTTTAAGCAAAGTTTCGTCTCTTGCTTCTTCCACGTTCTCAACTCTAGGCAACTCACACTCGGGTTTTATACTTTCCATTGTTTCCATATCAATAGGTTCGGTTTTCATTTCTTCAAATAAGGGAGGAGGCGTGCCAATTGATGAGCTGCTGTCAGCATACGCTGATATCTCAGCAAATCGCGGGCTCAACCGTGGTCGACCGTGAGGACAATTCTATTGAAAAGAAAAAAAAATTATTTACTGAATAAAGCGTTTGAGGTATAGCTAAGGCAATTAAGTGGCTTCCATTCAAGCATAGCCAACCATCCGAAATCAGAAAAAGGAGTGCATATGCATGGTGCACGATGCACTATGATCATGTTCGCGTATAATTAATAGTTACGGTGAGGAACTGGGTAAAATTAGAATCTTCAAATGCCGAACTCAATGGTTCTATCCGTTCGAATGTATGCGCAAACTCAAAACATTAGTTGCGAAATTTTCTTCAAAAGCTGAATTACAATTTCTAATTCTTTGCCGAGGATGTATTCTTTTTTTGCTTTTATTGATCGTATATTATCTTTATTTCAGTTCGAGCGAGATATGATAATGTGGAATCATAAAGCGTTTCGGAAACACCCACAATTGATATTCCAAGTACGTCGTGCGTTGTAATATTTTAAAACTATATTTCTCATCTGTAGTGTACTAATCGGATATGAATAAAACGTTTTCTAGTTTGCATATAATATAACCCAAGTTAAATTCTCTCACATCCATACGCGCAAAGCTTGACTTCGAAATTTCTTTTTGCAGCTCATCTTCGGTACTTTTACTTTGGCTGGGCGTTATTTCGCTTTTGAAACGTAAACGTTCTAATTTAAATAATTCGGTAAGTGTGGAAAATTAAGTTACTGTTAAAAGACTAAGACTTACAATCCCTTTGACATCTTCATCTCTGCCATCAGCACGCTGCACTCTTAAGATGTGATAACAAAAGTCCAAAACTTCAAAACGCCTTTCTTGACCCAATAGAACAATCATTGCACAAAGAGCCCAATTGAGGTGTGGCTACCATTCGTTATATTAGGTAGCGGATCTGTTGTTGAAACCTTCAAAATCCGAATCACAAGATAACTTTTAATATTCCACACACAAAATCTTAACTATAAATGGCAAGTAGCCGTTCTGTTTTTTCATACTATAGAAATTTTAAATTCCTTCTGTTGTTCTATTAAAGAACCTGGTGTACGTTTTTTTTATAATTTATGTATTGTTACCACTTTTAAATGTAAAAAATTGAAACTTTTTGGTTAATAAATTTGAAATAAGGAAAAAAGATCGTTTTTTTATTTTATGTAATTCCAGCAGTTATTCCGTTCCGATTTAAATGTGTTGTATTAAGTTTTAAGCTAATTAAAGGTGTTGCGCATGTATGCAAAACCGAGAAAGACTTGAGAGAGTCTATACCGAACGGTTTAGAAGGTTTTTTTTTTATAATATATGATTTTCTATTTCAGTGAAACTGGTTATGTCTACAAAGAATTGCACGACGTGCTTAGGCGTATTCTTCGTTACACTTGGTTACGGCCGCTCCATATCTTTTTCTCTTTTCCCATTTATTGGTGACCGCTACTGCTTGTATAAAGAACATCGGTTGAGTAATTGGTAATCAAAGAAATAAACTTTAGGCAATTCCGGACAGTCGCCGGAAATCCGACTGCGCCAAAGTTATATTCAGAAAAGGTATCGCCGTTCTGGAGTAAATACGATGTCGTGTAGACCGACAAGCTTAATGCGATTAAAAAAATTCATTGGAATGGTAATTTTAAGCAAAGGGGGAAGCTTTTCGTTTTTTTTTTGTATTGAAACAAATAAGAACGTTATAGTCGTGCAAGACCGACCTTTAAATACCTTACGTCACATTGTCTAATACAATTCTTATTTTTGTATGACATTACTATTGTGAGTCAATTTTCATCACCATATACTATAACCTAGACTTTTCTGCTCTCTACAAATGGTCAATTTTCATGAAAACCCTTATTAGGGTAGTATCCAAAAAAATGGACCGAGATGATCCAAATTTTGTTTCAGTTAATATTTTTATGATAATTTACAATTATAAGCTTTTCAATGCTTCGTGTTGAAAATTATATCTTTTTGTCGCTTTCGTTTTCATTAAATGAGAGGTGATTGAAAAATTGCTCCAGTCGGTCTAAAATTTTTATACCGATTTGGAATGCCGAAATACTGCGACTTGACCACTTTCGCCGGGACATGTAGAAAACTTCATTTTTTTCGATATAAACGACTTTTCAGAATAGGGCGTTATATAGGGAGTGATTGAAAAAGTGGATCGATCCAGAACATTTTCACTATCCTTCATTCCTGCGTCAAAACACGTCGCGTCATTGTAAAATTCATCAAAACATCTCAAAAAATGCGACTTGTAGCTTGAACACAAGAAGACATGGGCAGACATCAGATGGACGGACGGACTGACAGATTTGGATCAATTCAGATTATGATTTTGAATCAATCGGTATAATTAAAAGTGAGTCTATCTTAAGTCCTTCTACGTGTTAAGTGTTACGTGTTCTCCGCGTTAACTTAATAAACCTTTTACCAGAAGTGGTGTACGTTATAAAAAGTTACAAATACTTGTCATTTTTTGATCGTCAAATCGAGCATATAATATCAAAAAAGTGAAACAATTTAAACTAACTACATTTATAAGTATGTCAATGCATGTTAGCATACTTATAGGCGCAATGTTTGCCGGTAGACGCATGTAAATGCCAAATCAGTATATAGCATAGTAACCGAACTCTATAAACATACACGCAAGGATTACCTTGAGATGCAATTATTGATGATGTCCACCTATCGTCATTCAGTTTTTAGAGATGTCCGAAATAATCTCAATATTGATCGCAAATATCTTTAGGAAAGCTTAGGATATATTAAGCCTGTCGTAGACGCTGGGGGTTAACATAACCTCAACTAATCAATTTTATGGAGAATGTTTAGAAGATCAGACAATCGGCAAGTAAGGAGATTTAAAGTCGCACCGATATAGATAAATCAATTTTTTGGTAACAAATGCGTTGTGACCCGTCGCTAGTCATAAAAGATACCCACGTATCTTTTTTTTATAGTCTTGATGACTTGGCTTTAAATTGCATTTTTCGCAGCAAACTTTTTACTTGATTTATATAGAAAGAAATGTAAAAAGTATAACGCGGTTAATCAAATTTTGTTATAGGCGAGAAAGAAATTGACCAACAATTGCACGTTGGACGTGTGCTGTTCCTTTTTTGAATTCCCCATATATTGAACACTTCTTATGGGTTATCACCCATGGTCCTTAAAACACTCTTAAAAAAATAGCAAAAGCTAATGAGTACATTTGAACAAGATTAAGAAAAATATTTTTGCCACACAATGTTTGAATGTTTATTACAATTACTACCGAACCAACGAAACGATATTACTAAACTAATAGGACTATCTTTCGGTGACCGGCATACGTTTCCACACACACTCGGCTTAATACCCATTTGCTTTCATGAGAAATATAATAATAATTAGGTACGGTTAAAGCGTAGATCGCAGCGTGCTATGAAACATAAACGTGCATATAGTGTGAAATATGAATAATTTTCGTTTCTTAAAAATTATTCTTAACAAAATTTTATTTATGCATTGGGATTACAAATTAATTCAATCGGTTTTTTTGCGATGAAAAATGCATTTACGTCAAGACAAAATAATAACTGTTTTATTGTTTTTAGTATCATTAAAACTTTTACTATCGAAAAAAAATATATTTGCTTTTTGGAATTTCACTTTTTGCATCACGCCTTCGTTATTCAATATGTTAATGTTATAATGTTATTTGCTCTCTGAAAACAACGTTGAGTAAAACATATGGAATACATTTTAAACAACATTTGAGTGCCTTTTATATTCAGGTTCAATATTGTATTAAAACCAGAGCGTCGATATCTCTTAGTAGCGCAACCAAATGGTTGCTTATAAATTGATAAAAACCGGGGCGCAACCAAATATTTTATAATTTTGTTTCTCTTTTCTTTGCATTCCTTTAATGACATGTGGCTGGAAATTTTTAATATTGTATTTTTAATAATAACCAAATATTTTTAATAAAGTTAAAAAAAGAAAGAAAATTATATTCCATATACGCTCAATGTTGGAGGATTACGCAAACTCTTTTAATTGTTTTAATTGTGGACGTGTCCTCACTTGACGAATTTCACACAATTTTGCACTGAGCCAAAAACGTATATAATAACGAAACGGAGTTTATCAACTCGAAGCGTTTCGCAAGAGAATTGAATTGCAATTTAGCGATTAATCAGATTATTCGTTGTAAAAGTTTGCAGCCGAGTAACAGATTGTAAAATACGGTTGGTCTTTTGTCTGTATCTTGATGTCTTTTATAGTATCACGGACACGTGTGGAAATGAAGTCAAAATTCGTGGATTGTACGTACAGTTTACGGAACCCCTGTTGATGACTATTACAAATGAGTTGAGTTCCAAACCAGTGCAAACAGTAGTAAAATAGGTACGTTCGTCCTTCAAATCGGACACCATTTTGGCACAAGACTTGTAAATATTTTTCCTTTCTTTTTCTTTTTATCCAGGGCTAATGACTTAGTGGCAACAAATATCTAATGTAAGCTCTTGCATGCTTCTTGTTTTTTATTTGTTTGTTAAGAAGTTACTGCGGTGTTTTCCACCCTTGAACTTATGATCGTCGAATAGTATCATTTCCAATAATATTGTAAGGAAGCATTTTTGCTCCCTTACCAATAACTAGTCCGTCCGCTTAAAAGTCCACCCGCAATCCGCAACCAGCAAGTCCGATCTGTCCACGCATGTCGTTCTGTGAACAATACGCGAGTAGCCTCCTCCAACATCAAATGCATAATATCAGAAAAACACACACTATACCTTGTAAAGATAAAAGTCATAAAACACACATTAAGTATGTCTATACCGTATAAGAGAAAATGTATAAACACATACGGTACAGGCCGACGTTAGTTGATTCAGAAGAACACACACTCCAACATCAAAAGCACTAAGTCATAAAAAAACACATTAAATACCTTATAAAGAGAAAATGTACAAACACATATAATACAGGCACGAGCAAAATAGGTATAAGATCGGTAGGATGAACAAACCTTGTATGAAACGACTCATAGGCATAGAACATGTAAAAGCATATAACACAAGCCCTAGTCGAACATAGGCACAAAACCATAGGTAACATTTACACAACCGCCAAAGCGCAAAATATGTATGAATACAATCAAATAAAGCTTGTCAGACATAACTCAAAGCCATCGAACTTGTAAGTCATAAGACCAAGTCAAACATAGGTATAAAACCGTATGGAATAGGTACAACATATACAAGAAGAAATCTGTATGCCGAAAAATTGTATAAGCAAACTGTAGAAACGCTTACATATTACGCATTACGGTAAAAATCCCGTTAGGTCAAATAAGCATATAGAAACCCTTGCGCTCGCAATGCATAAGCACACACGCTCATGAAAACGCACATACCAAAGAATCACACATAGCATTTTATAGTACTGTTAAGTCATAGTAACATACAGAAACCTGTATGCCTTAAAATTGTATAAGCGAACGATAGAAACGCTTACATATTACGCATTACTGCATAAACCCCGTTAGGGTATATAATCAGGTAGAAACCCTTATGCTCTACAATGAATATACGATCAGCTAAACAAATAAACGTTAGAGTCACACATAGCAATGCACACCAATACCCGTACGCGCAAAGAGCACAAACACACACACACTATTACACAAAATGTACAAAGACACGATCGCACATGTAGAAACACACAAAAAAAAAACAAGCATATGCAAACACAGTGGCATAGAAAGGCACAAGCACTCACATACTTAACGGTGAATCACGCGATTTGGTACCTAGGTGCCTGTTGCGTCGAAATTTGAACAAACATAATAATAA